CTGTGCCAATTTATACATATTTTTATAATTACCATCACAATGTATTCTTAATGATTGAATATTTTTACAAATATTTGCTAATTTATCAAAAAGTTCACCATTATAATTATAACAACTTATTTCATAAAGATTCTGAAAACAATAATCAAATCTATGATGATTAAGTAACCCATTACAATCTGTGTGGATACTTCTAAACATTCTAATACCTGCTGAATGATCTAAAATAAAGTTTCTTAATTTATTTTGTAAAACTCGTGCAAGATCTAATGCTTTAGATTTTCTTAGGTATTGATAATAAAGATTATCTGGAAACATAGTAGCAAACCCAGCATAATTGTATAATGGTGGTTTCTCCAATAGTTTAAAATCTGATTCGATTTTAGTCAAAGAATCCTTATCTTTTTCCAATAAACAATTAATTAATATTTTAACACTGTTAGGAGAATAAAATGGGTTTCTCCATAAAGTTGGAATACTGATACTGTGCCATTGTTTGTTGACAAGAATACAAGAATATAATGTTTTATAATCATCTTCAATGTATTTGAATATTTCAGTCAGAAGCTCAGGTGGAATACTTTTTATTTCAAACATTTTTAAGAATAATTTGTTTGTTGCACAACGTAAATGAAAAAAAAAAATCCAATATGTTGTGGATTTACAATTTATTATTATACGCCAGTATAGGTATTATTTAATTAGAAGAATTATTGTTATGATAATTGATTATTTATTTAAATGTTTAAATGTTACATTCAGAACTAAATGGACTCCAGTTTTTCTTATAAGAAGGCAGTAATTTATACTTGACATAGACCACTAATTATTCATAATTTTATAGAAATGATTGATTCTTATTATTATTATTCAAATATTTGTAATAGTTACACTTTTAAATACTTTCAGATATCGTGATAACTTTTACTTTTGGAAATTGTAATCATAATATATATAATTTATTTTTTTATTAACATGACAAAATTTCATGTAATTAAATATAGATTTTTTAAAAAATATAAAAACTAAATATTACATTTTTACTAAGCATGATCATTCAAAATCCACCAACATGAATTCGTTCAAATTTTTTTTTTTATCTTTATTTACAGTAAATGAATAATTGCATTTTGTAAATCAATCAACCTTCTCCATGAATAAAATGATGAATTCCATCTCTACAAATGGCATATAAAACATATACTACAAAAAATATTAATATTCCACGATTTAATACATACCAATTTACAAAAATACAAATAAGCTCTCATTATATTAATTATAATAAGAAAATTAATTAATAGCCAGAATCCTGAATTAGTTTTAATAATAGAAATTTAAAATGACAAAACGTCCTGCTTTAATTGTAAAATATTGTTTCAGTAGATGAAATAAAGCCACATTCACATTATGAGCCGAATGGAGAGTAAAAGTGAGATACAACTAAATTGATTTACTGCCTATTGAAGTTTTTAAAGCATTGAAATTTAGTAAATTATAATTTATTATCATTTATAATGAACAGACATAAGGTCTTTGAATGATTAATTAGTAGAGTATGATGAATATATATATGCATTTTTTTATTTAGAAATGCTTTTCTATTTGATAATAATTGTCTTGAATTAATGTAATGACTAAACAGCTAGTCAAATTCTCATTTTAGGTTACGCAGCTCATCGTCATCACTTTATCACTTTCATCTCCCACATTTTCATCATCATCAATGATTGTAAATATTGTTAATATTTTTTGGACATTTTATTCGTAATTAAAATAAATATACAGTAATTCAAGTGTCGATTTGTTTCTCTTTTTATCATGTATAAATGGACCAATTTCTTTCAAAAGCAAACTGATGAAGTAGGAGCTGAAATTATCAATTCTGCCCGGTTTAACAAAATGAGACTAAAATTTTGATTTTGTCATTCTTAAATACTATCAATATAACTTGGTAAAAGTTAAAAATTCATGTTTTTTTTTTTTTTTTGAATAGAATTATGTACATGATTTGAAAAAAAATCATGCGCATGTCACATACATAATTGACGTGAACTGAAAAGTTAATTTGAGCGGTCTTATAATAAATGCCAATGCAAAAAAATCATTTCTTGATGCACACTCTCAATATACGCACACACATATACGATTAAAAACCAAAGTGAAAATCCTTATTATTATATGTTTCTATTATGTAGCTTTGATATGATTGCTTTTGATAAAATTCATGAAAACATATTAATAGTTTAAGTCTTCATATAGTGTTCCTGTAATTTTCCCATATTGAAATAGTATTTGGAACCCGGATCCAATCCCGAACTATGTGCACATTACTGATATAATTGGCAAGCACTAACTCCTTTAGCTCATTTGCTTGATTTTTGAGTCCGTTCTGAGAATAAAAATATAAAGTTGGACTTTCCTGTGAGATCGAATGGCATATATAGAAAATATTCCCTACCAGAGCATATAGTAGTTCGAAGATTTCCATAAAATTTTCAACTTCTTTCAAAAGAGAATGGTAACATCGCTGACTTAATCTGTGAAATTTTATAAAAATGCTTCTTATCAAGACGAAGTTCACTTAACGTAATTCGATCACCTAACATAAAATAACCAGAATAAGATTGATACTGTTCAAAAGAAACTGACACATTACCAATACATTGCACCATGTAGGTACATATATTTCTTGCATTTTCTGCATTCTTATCTAAAATGTTTCTAAACAAAGAGACCAAGTCAAACATAGCTTCCTTGATGAGCCTTTCAGTATCTTCTCTGACATGTTTTGTAACAACATTCTCCGGTCCTCCAGATACTTCAATGAATATGGTTTCTTTATTGCTTGCAACCTTAAAACCAAATCTGTCTACTTTATTTAAAGTCAAATCAAATCCTGGAAACAACATTGCATCCTTGATACACTTAGTTTGCACTTCAATCCAGTCAAATGTGTACTCTTGATAAACAGATTGAATAAAGTAGCTATTCTCTCCACGGTATATTTTCTTTCTCTGATATAACGATTCAAAAAACCCTCCCTCACCAGTCAATGAAAAAATTGTTTTGAATTAGTTAGTTGTGCCAAAAATGACATATAGAATCCTGGTAATATACTTACAAGTCATAAAGGATAGTCTTGCAGACTTACTGAAACGTATTTTCGGGATTTAATGAAACCATAATAGCACTCTCAAATGTATCCTTTTTGACTAATTAATAAATCTTTTAATACATATATATATATATTAACATAACATCTGAAGGAGATTTATATTTACTTACCAATAGTATATTTACAAGCCAACCATGAATTTCTTCTAGAATTGCATCAACCTGATCAGATTTCATTATCACAAGTTGGTTGTTAACATTTACTGACCAAATATTGGATAGAATGTTCTCCAAGAATAGGTTTTTGTGAGGTGGTCATCACAGCTTCGTTATGTGGGTTGGGAGGAGGTGTATGAAACTAATGAAAAACAACATTACTCGGATATAATTCCCAGAAAAAAAATTTTTTACACCAAATGTCAGCTCACATCATCACCATTGGATTTGCTTTCTTGAATGTCTTTCTTGATTTCGTTATTACTAATGATTTCTTCAATGCCATTTGTAGATTTGGTGGATTGTCTTTTTGCCTGGATCAAAGATTGTAAAAAAAGAATGTCAGTCATTAAGTTTCAAAGCAAACGAGATATATTGGTATTACTTGTCCTTTCCAGATATTTCCACATAATCAGAATCGGAATCTGTTTTCGTTTCTGTTGAACTTGTACTTTCAGCATAACACACTGTTCACTTCTGCGAGATGGTCCCTAAGTCATAAATCAGTTCAGTGTGTGTAATAACCTTGAAGTCAATCACTGTGCTATTACCTGTTTTTCTTCTTCCATTTTGAGCATTTAATGTGCAGTATATTCATTACGTAACTCCCGTATGACATTATTCCATTATTCTGATAGCCCCCGTAAAAGTTAATCAAAGTTTCATTGCAAGATATACAATTCCTCTCCCAAGAAAAAAATCTCATCTAGAACTTTAGCATGTAAAATTTGATGAGTTAATAACATTTTTAATCACATGTCCTGATTTTTTATTCCATCCCATTAAGTCAGCAAGAAGCCTTGAACATCAGACAACCAAGAAGGTCACTTGTGCCCAATGCTGGGTCGGCAAGAAACCTTTAACATCAAATAACCAAGAAGGTCACCTGTGCCTCTACAATGGTTTCGTAGCTCAACAAAAAGTCTTGAATGATAAAGAACCGAGAAGGCCACCACCATGCCACTTGCATTTCCAGCTAAGAAAAGATTCTTGCTTCCTTATACTTGTCAAGAAGTATATGTGCTTTTTCACATCTTTTCCCTTTTCCTGTGACAATAATGTTATTAAAGGACTTGATATACACGTCTATCTTTTTTTTCGAAAGGTTCAATATCACTTCTGTTGTTCAAAAAATCAATAATTCCTCAATCTGATTATCGTTTACAACTGATTTCATATATATATAGTAATAGTAAAATAATTGGATATTCTATTAATAGCACAAATGCCATATATTATGAGGTAATTAATCAAATTTGGTTTATCGTAATAATCAGTGTCGTACAACCTACTTTTTAATTTGGCCAAGGCCTCTCTGGTTCACTATTTTCAATCTTGCATATTCTTGATTAGTTTTTATACAAGAAAAGTTGAAATCCAAGATCTCAAGCAAATCCCAAGAAGGCACTCTGCTCAGAATTACATATACTCGACCAGGCACGAACATATTTTCAACAGTTGCATGAGGTAATGTTAATCCTTGGGTTTTGTGCACAGTAAGAACGAAAGCATTCTGTAGAGGAAATTGTTGCCTTGATACAGGACTCCATTGATATCAAAGTAAGTGGTTTCTTTTTGCACAGTCATCTTTGTGATATCCTTCAACATTTTGAGGATCAGTCATTTTTGGTTATCACACCAATTGTCTCATTGCAAACTCCATGACCAAACATCTCGTTGTTGAGGAACATCACTTTTTGCATCTTCTTGTAGAATGACATGCTTGGGGAGGTTTGTATAGCAGTTGAAGTGAAAATCTTCACTTTGATTCTGATTGAGGATGTTATGGTTGATCGTGTCTGCTGCAGCCGAGACAAAGCTCTTTCACCAAGAGGTAATTTTTTACAAAACATAGTGTAACGTCGTCTAGCCTACTATTATTTTAATTTTAATTTAGAAAGAGTTGCGCCACATCAATTAATTATTATTTTGGATATAAGAAATTTTTTTACAAGTCATATCTACATGAAATTTGTTTAATTTTTTTGGCCTAAAAGTTATTATAACTATTAATTGATTATTAACATAAATGATAATAATAAGAGCAAAAAAAACTTTAGTTGTAAACAATTTATTGGTTCAAAAAAAGTTGTTGATTCAAATTCCGGTGTGGAATTAATTAATAAAAACGCGTCCTTTAAAATTTTTTTTTTATTATATTTATATGATATGTAATTATCATCAATTTTGCATGAAATCAATCTTTTGGCAATATATAACTCTTTTATTACTGATTTTACTTATTTATTTTTATTTTCTATTTTTTATTAGATGATGGGGTGGAGGGTTGTTGAAACGGAGTTAGCGGCACATCCATTAAGTATCATGTTCTTTATCATCACTTTTTTTTATTATATACAAATCATTTATATTTTAACAACCACCACCCCCTTTCACTATTTTCATTGATTATATGCATCCATTGAGAAAGGTGAAGAAGCTTTTCACCTTTTAACTATCTATTTCTCAAATATGATTAAATTTATTAAATTCGTCTCTTCGTATATATGATTTTTTTATTATTCATGTAATAAATTTTTCTAATCGTTAAATAATAGCATGTTTCACGATTAAACTTGAAATATATGTTGGTACTATGGAATCCTATTTATGCGTTTTGAATTTAATAAAATAGACTATTGTCTTCATATCAACCGATTTGGTTTTTTAGGTCCTTTTTTCAAACCTTATATCTTATTGTGTCTCGACGTTAAACACGTTAAACATGATGTGTAAACTGGTCAATAGAATGATAATTAACCACCAAAAAATTTATTTGCTCCGCTAAAAAAACTAATTTACTATTCGATAGCCCGTCAAACCAATGGGGTTTTTGCTAGTATAAAGTATTCATAACGTTATGATCATACCGTACTGGATTTTGGGGTTCAGACAAAATCAGTGGATCCATGATGTGATAATAATAAATAAAAAGGCTTACGTTACATTCTCACTTGTAAATTTGTTAATCAAAAAACGTACCAGCCAGTAATTACCTTTATCATGCTAACCAAACATTAAAATTAAACAAATCTCTGTTTATTTGCATGATAAATGGTAAGAAACGTTTATCACGTGGAAAAGGTATCTAAATAAATTTATGCATCAAAAAAATTTTTTTTTGAAATTTAAAAAATTCCTTCCCAAAAATTAGGTTTGAAAAGCAGATTTTTAATTAGCTAGCTCATCTCCGCTCCCCTCATGCTTTACGATGGGTTGAAAGTTGTAGAACCTCAGATTTATAAAAAGATGATTCAAAAAAAAATCAGCAAATGATTATTGCTTCTAAAAAACCTTTAAACAAAAAAGGATAACACGCGTAGTACCAATTCCAACTAATTTCTTTCTTACTCTAATTAACTAGAAAAGTATCAGCCAGATTGAAATTGAATAAAACCAGTACAACCAAGTCAATGCCAAAGTGAAAATAAGATTTTAAGTTTATTTCATATCACTAAAATTTATCATTATTTTATAATAAAATGAAATTGATAGAGGGAGTATATATATAAATTGTAGCTTTCATATTTATAATCTAAATTAATAATAATAATAATATAGCTAATGATGATGACAATAGAATCCTTACTATCATCAGATCTAAATTATAAAAAAATTTCTAATGGCACAAAAAATATAACCATCCACCAGGCGGAGATTTAATACCAAGCACAATGTACAAATTCACAAGTTTAAAATAGCAAAAGCAAAAAATGGCTAAATGAAAAATAACTGCACAACAATTAAAATTCCTATAAAACAATAAAAATAATTTTAAATATATTATTATTTAATAAAATTAATTAAAAAAAAAATACTCACCCAATCTGCATCTATGTCCAATGCCCACAGGAACTTTTCACAGAGGGTCTTGTTGAAAATTTTAGTGATCGGCACATCATATTTTTTGCACCATGCAAAATTAAAGTTCTCAAGCCTATCCTTGATTGCACTACGCGTTGGAACTCTACACATGATATGATTAGGAATGGTCTTTATCTTAAACCAGTAAGTTTTTCTTTTAACTTCCTATCATTTCAGATGTCAGAATTCAAAATTCTGATAACAATTTTTAGGCACTCAACACCCTCACTAGCATTCATGATGACCTTCATCAGTATGCCATCTCTCATACACAGTGGGCTACTCTTGAAAAATTGTTGAATTCCTTGAACCATTCAAAGACCTTACGTTAAAGATGTCAACTAGCTCATATAGTACAGCCTACCTTATCATCCCTTTCTTCAATATTATTATTGATCATGTTGAAGATACAGCAGATTTAAGTGAAGGTGAAGTGACTGGAAAAATCCAGATAGCAGCTAAAGCAGCAAGAGATAAGTTAGTACGATATTATTCAAAAACAAATATGTTTATGATGTTGTGTACAGCATTAGATCCAAGAAGAAAGCTTTATTATTTTATGAAGAAAGGATTTCTAGATGATGATATCAGTGAAACAAAAATGCTGTAAGCAATCTAATTTTGAAGGTTTTTTGACCCATATTTCTCAATTCTAATTCACTGAATTAATGTTTAGGATGTGAAATACATTATACATCAACATCCATATCTATCACAAATTCATCATCAATTAATGATAGTAATAGTAACACCAATAGGACAGTCACACAATCAATGCTAGATGCAGATTTTGATGAAGATGAAAATGATGTAGATGAACTTGAATGTTATATTTCTGAGAAAC